AACTTCACGAGTTGTTTTTCTCAATTTCGGTCATAAAAACAAAAAAAGCCGGCCTCCTGTCTTCGGTCAGCTACAATTTGAGAGAGGAGCAGCGGAGCGTCTGTGGAGGGGGCGGGGACGTCTGTAGCTGAGGTATTGCATTGCACTCATTGCACTGATTTTCTGCAGTATTTTTGCAGTATTTTTTGATGCAACTTTTCTACTTCTGTTATTTGCTGTTGTTTCTGAAAAAAAACAAATGCATAACGATATTACAGCTTTCATTGATTTATTTCAAACTTGAAACTTTGTTTAGCCTGTAAGGTGTAAAAAAAAAAAATTATGTATGAATTGAATCGAATCGTGGTGTATTTTTGAGTATCGAAAATAATCGAATTGTTGGGTCAGGAAATCGATACTGAATCGAATCGCCATGATGGATGTGATTTACACCCCTACTAATCAACCAAAACTTTCGCGACCCCCATGCAGTACCTCCATGGACCCCCTAGGGGTCAAGGACCCCCTGTTGAAGACCTCCGTGGCAGAGGCTCACTTTCCTCTGGACGACTCAACTGTTAAAGCTTGGAGACACAGAAGTGTTATATATTAGAACAACGTTACCGTGTCCAAATGGTGTTGCCATTGTCAGTATGTATGAGGAATTGCCTTCAAGTCAATGAGTCGATGCAATCAACTGGTTTTCCTTAGAAATCTCTGAATCAATCTGACTGTATGACCTGGTTGAATTGTAAAGTGCCTTGAGATGCACGTGCTCTATATTGGCGCTATTTAATTGAATGTAAAAACAAAGAATCTGTGCAGACTTTATGTTCCTCTTTATGTGTTGAAATTATGTTCTCTTTTTAGTCTTAATGAGCCTTACAGTTTAAACATTGATCAAGGCATAAGGAAAAATTTAAATAAGTCTATTTGGCCTTCATTTGAGCAGTTTCATAAAATTATGTCAATGACAAGAGCATTTTGACCCTGAAACGACAATTCTATCTGTACTGCAGTTAAAATAAGATAATGGGATGTTTATTTCTTATTTAAAGTGTAGAAATCTTATTCCAGTGGGAGATAATTTCACTTACCTACTCAAATCAATGCAGATATAATAAGAAAACTAAATTATCTTTTTGAATCAAAAGGAAAAGAGTGAATACTTTTGTAGTTTAACTATTTTCATAGAAAAAGGATAGGAAATATTTCAGTTACTGAATAAACAAAGTAGACAGAGACATACCGTGAAGGATTTATTATTAAAACATATTTAATTAATGAATCCTTTCCCTTTCACTTTATGCAGTACTTTGTGTTGGTCTCACTTTAAATCCTGAAGAAAAAATAAGTATTTTTTGGTTGTTGAAGTGAATAAATGTGGAAACATTTGGTGTGAGTGAGACCCCGAATGTTTCCAGTGTTTAACAGGACTTTAGTTTTTGTTACACATGGGTCAAGTAGTGGGATTTGCAGTCCTGTGGCACATTTATTTTCATAAAATCTCCTTAAAGCCAGGCAATGCTTTTCAAATTTAAACATACATGTTTCAGAAAGCATTTCTGAAATCCAAAAGACTAATAAAAAAAACACGAGTTGTTCTTTGTTGAATAAAAGCACACGATGGCCACCATAGGGTTTAAACAAGAGACCTGGAAAGTTGTCCTCTTAGTAACATCACCATAAATAAACATTTATATAGCTTAGACTTTGACTATCAAATATACAACGCTTTTTAAAATAGAATTAACTTTCTACAAAGCTAGTACAAATGGATATAAGAAAGAACTCTCCCCATAGTACTGTATGTTGCATCTATTTACAGGAAATACAAAGAACCCTAAATCCACATAACTGACATAAATATAGTTTTGTGCTTCAATATGTTTTCTAGCATGCTTTCTGAGTCTCAAAAGATTGTCACAAAAAAGAGCGTTACACAAATGTAAACGATATCCTTAAATACATACTGGAGTCAACAGTAGTATGGAGGATAAAAAGTGCCAAAATTAAATAAATAAATAAATAAATAAATACAGCATTAAATAAATAATTAAATGTGTCAATAATTAATTAAATTGGAATTAAATAAATAAATGTGTCATTCATTAATTGAAACCACGTCGCTAATATAAAGTGCCACAATTAAATAAATAAACACAGCGATAAACAATTAATTAAATGTGTAATTCATTAAATAAATAAGGAATTAAATATATAAATGTGTCATTAATTTAATAAAATACTTCTTCATTTTATTAACAAAATATATATAATTATTTCAGTGTGCGTTTAATTGTTTCATGGTCCTGTGTCGCAGTTGCATCGAAACCATTAAAAGAATCTGTCAAACTCACCCATCAAAGTTAGGGGGCGGGGTTAACGTGAATCGAGTCTCTGTAATCGATTTGCTTCGCCTTAATGTGCAGGATGACCAATCAGTTGTTAGATAACATTATATATTTAATTCCTTATTTATTTAATGAATTACACATTTAATTAATTGTTTATCGCTATATTTATTTATTTACTTGTGGCACTTTATATTAGTGACGTGGTTTTAATTAATGAATGACACATTTATTTATTTAATTCCACATTTAATTAATTATTGACACATTTAATTATTTATTTAATGCTGTATTAATTTATTTAATTTTGGCACTTTTTATCCTCCATACAGTAGATGATGTTTAGATAGGTTTTATATATTCCTATTTACAAGTTTCAGACACAAATCACCTTCCTACTCTAGGCCTCTAATAGATCCTCAAATGAGAACATTTGGTATTTATTCTGTTATTTTTTGTTAACATTTAAAACTTCAACATTCTTCTACTAGGTACCTTGATCAAGCTGAAAAGACGTCCCTAATATTCAGCCAAGAAATCCTGACAAAATATTTTTTTTTTTACATGAAACCGATTTGTGCAAGTGCATCTAAATAAATGAAAATATATTCATAATAAGGGGACGAGGTTGATAGTTTAGTCTTAAAGCTGCTGCAAACCCAAATTACAGTTTCTGAGAACATTAATAAATTGCTGTATGCTGTAATACTGTATGTGCTTTTTTTTACAATTAAAAAACAAACAAAACAAAATAAAATCTGGCATTGTAAAAACTATACCGTATTTGGTTATTTAACCCTTTCAATTATGTTCTGGTTCATCAGAAATAATAATAATCAAACAAAAAAAACACGTAAACAAGCCTGATGGATCTCCTTAACTAAAATAAAGCTTAATGAAGATGTTGACTTTCCAGCAGTGATTTTCTGCCCTTTTTTCCATCTTCACTGGGTTTGGTTTAAAGAAAGCATTTTAGTTTTATTATAATTTAGTTTGTTGCAAGGATTTTACAGTTTGAAGGAATAGAAAATGAAATCCTTTTACCAACCGTCACAAGGATGTGCATGACAAGGAAGGGCTATATATACTGCATGCATCATTTAGGTAGTTAACATTGGATTACTTCTTGAGCTCCTTGACTTATTTACTGTCACAGGTAGAAGCTTCAGCTGGAGAGTACATTTTGGGGCAGGTATGATTTTAGGTAGCCTCGTGAGACCATCCTGATCTCGCGAGCTTTCAAGGTTTCACTCGCAGATCAGTCTGGAGACTCTCCGTTAAAGAAAATTTGGAGCCGTTCACCAAACGAACATCCAATCAGCGTTGGCTTTGAGGCGGGTTGAGGTGTGACGCAATGAGAAGCAAGACAGTTCAGTCTAAAGAACATGGCGGCTTCAGCCGATGAAACTAGCGTTAGCGTGGCTATCGAGCAAGTTTTATTGGAATTACGGAGTATTTCTTCACTGTAAGAAGAGCAAAACACTGCTCTGGAGGCTTTTCTCAGAGGTAAAGATGTTTTTGCTCTTCTCCCGACTGGTTTCGGCAAGAGTTTGATCTATCAAATGGCTCCTCTTCGTCGTTGCTCTGTTAGTACGTCATATGCTTCGCTGATCTTATTGGTTTATTTGGCCCGTCTATCACCAACATAGGCCAATCAGCTAACCAGTATTTTCGCCCTTTGCCAAAATTTCTTCAACGGAAGGTTTCCAGATGGATATGTGGAGCAAATCCATCTGGCGGAGTCAGGTTAGATTTTAGGAAGGCCGGCCCTCACACGCAAAAATTAGGAGCGGCCCACAGGGCAAATGCCCCATATGACAGGTTACTAGTTCGAGCCTGCTTTCCAGTTTCGGCGCTTGCCGAGACTCCCTAAGCTATAGGTAGCTGATTGAACATTGTCCTGTCAAGCAATGTGGCAATAAGAATAATTGTCTTGATGCCAAAAAGAGCCAAACCCGTCACTGGGCTTAAGAGGCTGGCAAACGGGTCTTACCAAAAGCCCAGAGTGAATCTTTCATGCAGTAATTCAAGCAAAAAGAGCCACAAACCAGTACTGTGCAGCACATGAACGCAGTTTCCAGTGGACCCACATTTCTGTCCTAAAAGTGCTTTATTGGTCTAATGAAATATTCTAGTTCTCAGAGAACTGAATTTTGGGTTTGCAGGATCTGCACGCAATAATCATCAGTATAAGAATAAATAAATAACAAATTTTCCCTATTTAACAAAATTCCTCATAACAATTGGATCACATTCTTTTTTCTTGAGACCCTCTAACAGTTCGGTACGGAAGAGGATTAGGGCCACTGAGAAAAAAAAAAAGTTCACTGATTTTTTAATTTTATTTCAGTTTAACATGGGAAAAAGTCAGAATTCTGACTTTTTTCTCAGAAATCTGACTTTAAATCTCAGAATTCTGACTTTTTTCTCAGAATTCTGACTTTTTTCTCAGAATTCTGACAATAAAAAAAGTCAGAGTTCTGAGAAAAAAAGTCAGAATTCTGAGATTAAAGTCAGAATTCTGAGATTTAAAGTCAGAATTCTGAGATTAAAGTCAGAATTCTGAGATTTAAAGTCAGAATTCTGAGATTAAAGTCATAATTGTGAGAAAAAAGTCAGAATTCTGACTTTAATCTCAGAATTCTGACTTTTTTTCTCAGACTATACTGAAATAAAATAAAATAAAAATCAGTTAACGTTTTTTTTTTTTTCAGTGGCCCTTCCGTAGTTCGGCGTCTCTTTAGAAAACGACTGAATTGTTTTAAAACAAGAGATAAAGATTAAAGAAACTCTTATTGTCGACCTATAATGCAAAGTTAGTTCAAATTAAAGGACTAGGTTTCAAAGTGTTAAGGCAAGCATAGATGAGTTAGTTCAAGAAGAAGAGGAGCTAAATTAAATTAGTTTTACAATAAAAACAAGTGATTTAAAAATAAATAGCAGATAAAAACACACGGTGTGAAATGACTGGCTGCCAGTTTATAAATTGGTGATGCTAACAGCCAGCTTTCTTAAAGATTTACAGGTGGAGAACTACTTTCAATATTACCAGAAACACTTATGAGCAATAGAAGAAAAAACACGAAAAATTAAATAATCAAGTTTACAAATTAATGACATTCTAATTAGGAAACATTAATAAACAAGACCATAATTCTGTCACATATTAAAAGAGAAGAAGATCCTATTCAGAAAGGACTGACACAACATTAGCATACATCTATTTAATGAATTACTCCTGATTTGGGCTGCAGGGCAGCTCATCGTCGCAGCGCTTAGACTGAGCCCATCTCAGTCCGTGTTTCCATGTAGTACCAATCTCCCCAGAGAACAAACTTCTCAGCATGTTATCTATGATACTGTTTTTAGGTGTGTTGTATTGAAAGGACTCCAGTTCAGTCTGTTTATGTGGCAGGGAGAGAGAACACAGGCTGGTTTGAAGCGGACGTCCCTCCCATCCAATCAACACCGGACCAGGGCTCTCAACAAGCCAGCCATTGCTAGCAGCAGTGCTGCGGCTGCAGAGAGAGTCACAATGGAGTTCCAACCTAGCTCACTCCCCTGAGGGGACAGACAGAAAGAGGAGTGTTAGGAAACTGTAGAAGATTTCAAATTAGGATCTAATCAGCATTCCCACACACTGATTATCTGAAAAAATGGCATTTCAATATTGGGCTATACCTGATGTCTGTGGTCTATTTGTTTCTCCTAAATTACTGCATACATTTTTGTAGAGATGAGCTAATTAAACCCTGCCAGATTTTTGGTTTCCTGGTACCGACCCAGCGTTTAAGCACAGCCAATATATTTACAATGCAGTTGAGGTCAGAGCCATTCTAGAAGCTTAATGTTAATGTGCTTTATTCTTTCCAAACTTTCAGAACAAACCAATGTGAAAGAGTTTTATCTAGTTAGAGAATTAATTACTTTATGAAAGGCCTACATCTACATTTCTACCTGCTGGTGAAGATTTTCAGTCATCCAGGTCATAGCCATTTCAAATAAAGTAAAAAAAAAAAAAACAATCCACTGGACTTTGTTTCCAAGTTTGAAGAGGTTTCGCTTCCCATCCAGGAGCTTTTTCAATTCAAAATGTCAGAAATAGCATTGAGGTCGGGGATTTACACAGTAGCCCCACAAGGGCTTGTTTTTATTTAGAACATGCAAATTGAAACAAGATGGTTCCTAGAATCTGCAAGTTTCCTGCTCGAGCGTCATTCTGAGGGTGTCTTTCCCAAAATGGAGTGCAATATGCTGGTGAAGATTCTCGTTTCAACCTGCATGTTTCTAAACAAAAGTACGGTGGCCCTGAAGTGCAAACTGCAACTACAAATCTAAAAGCGCAACTACATTAAGGAAATCGCAACTACATAAAGCAAAGAGCAACTACATTAAGGAAAACACAATTACATTAACCTACCGGAAAAGGTAGGTACCAGGGGTAAACATGAGACATCGCTGATTGGACGACGGCGCCGTTTGACCCTTGAACCGGAAGTTGCGTCGTCTGAACAGTCCAGCTTCATTTAAGTGTGTCTTCAGTGTACGCAAACTAACTGAAATTTCGTGATTAGTCTTGAGCATATCCAGTATCACCTCGTACGTATGTCCTGATTCAAATTATTCCTGGATAACGGCAGCTATGTTTGGGGCGCCGGCAATATCTATGTTTTCAAAAGCCGCAGCAGGCAGAATGACTTCCAGTTCAAGGGTCAAACGGCGCCGTCGTCCAATCAGCGATGTCTCATGTTTCCCACTGGTACCTACCTTTTCCAGTAGGTTAATGTAATTGTGTTTTTCTTAATGTAGTTGCACTTTGCTTTATGTAGTTGCGATTTCCTTAATGTAGTTGCGCTTTTAGATTTGTAGTTGCAGTTTGCACTTCAGGGCCACCGTACAAAAGCCTTCGTTGGGTTACTGTATAAAGCCTCGAACTCAACGCTATTTCTGTCATTCTGAATTGAAAAAAGGTTCCTGGATGGGAAGCTAAATGTCTTTAAACTTTAAAAACAAAGTCCAGTGGATTGTTTTTTAACTTTTTTTGGAATACATTTCCACCTCCACCTAACGTATTATATTGGTGCCACTCATAGCAGAAACGACCCGCACCATGATGCAGCCATTACCGTGGTTGAGAGTTCATAAAGTGTTCTATGGTAAAAAAAAAAAAAAAAAAAGGTTGAGAAATCTTAAATTGTACATGTGGTTAGCTGCAAAATACAGTGAGTCCTAAAGGTGTTAATGTTTGCTGACTGGGCCAGAGCCGTCTAAGTCTACGGTTAGTGGGGTTTCTGGTTCTACAGACAGAGATAAAGCTGCTGCCTGGTTTACTATTACACATCTTTATACAGGTGCTGGTCATAAAATTAGAATATCATGAAAAAGTAGATTGATTTCAGTAATTCCATTTAAAAAGTGAAACTTGTATATTATATTCATACATTACATACAAACTCATATATTTCAGATGTTTATTTTGTTTAATTTTGATGATTACAAATGACAACAAATGAAAATCTCAAATTCATCATATCAGAAAATTAGAATATTACTGAAGACCAATAAAAACAAAGGATTTATAGAAATGTTGGCCAACTGAAAAGTATGAACATGAAAAGTATGAGCATGTACAGCACTCAGTATTTAGTTGGGCCTCCTTTGGCCTGTATTACTGCAGTAATGCGGCGTGGCATGTAGTCGATCAGTCTGTGGCACTGCTCAGGTGTTATGATAGCCCAGGTTGCTCTAATAGTGGCTTTTAGCTCTTCTGAATTGTTGGGTCTGGTGTATTGCATCTTCTTCTTCACAATACCCCATAGATTTTCTATGGGGTTAAGGTCAGGAGAGTTTGCTGGCCAATTAAGAACAGGGATACCATGGTCCTTCAACCAGGTACTGGTAGCTTTGGCACTGTGTGCAGGTGCCAAGTCCTGTTGGAAAATGAAATCTGCATCTCCAAAAAGTTGGTCAGCTGCAGGAAGCATGAAGTGCTCTAAAACTTCCTGGTATGTGGCTGCGTTGACCCTGGACCTCAGAAAACACAATGGACCAACACCAGCAGATGACATGGCACCCCAAACCATCACTGACTGTGGAAACTTTACACTGGACTTCAAGCAAGTGGATGAAGTGCCTCTCTTCTTTTCCTCCAGACTCTGGGACCTTGATTTCCAAAGGAAATGCAAAATTTACTTTCATCAGAGAACATGACTTTGGACCACTCACCAGCAGTCCAGTCCTGTTTCTCTTTAGCCCAGGCAAGACGCTTCTGACGCTGTCTGTGGTTCAAGAGTGGCTTGACACAAGGAATGCGACAGCAGAAACCCATGTCTTTCATACGTCTGTGTGTGGTGGTTCTTGAAGCACTCACTCCAGCTGCAGTCCACTCTTTGTGAATCTCCCCCACATTTTTGAATGGGTTTTGTTTCACAATCCTCTCCAGGGTGCGGTTATCTCTCTTGCTTGTACACTTTTTTCGACCACATCTTTTCCTTCCCTTCGCCTCTCTATTAATGTGCTTGGACACTGAGCTCTGTGAACAGCCAGCCTCTTTAGCGATGACCTTTTGTGTCTTGCCCTCCTTGTGCAAGGTGTCGATGGTCGTCTTTTGGACAACTGTCAAGTCAGCAGTCTTCCCCATGATTGTGTAGCCTATAGAACTAGACTGAAAGACCATTTAAAGGCTTTTGCAGGTGGTTTGAGTTAATTAGCTGATTAGAGTGTGGCACCAGGGGCCATCAATTTTGAACCTTTTCACAATATTCTAATTTTCTGATATGATGAATTTGAGATTTTCATTTGTTGTCATTTGTAATCATTAAAATTAAACAAAATAAACATCTGAAATATATGAGTTTGTATGTAATGTATGAATATAATATACAAGTTTCACTTTTTAAATGGAATTACTGAAATCAATCTACTTTTTCATGATATTCTAATTTTATGACCAGCACCTGTAAGGTTCCTCTTCATCTCAGCGTCCAATGGAATGCCAGATAGAATAGGGTCCTCCAGTAGGATAACATTATCATCACCACAGAATAAAAATATGATCTTTCCTAAAGACTCTGCTTTAACCTAGTTAAAAGTTAATAAAGCATTCTTCAAAGGCAGGGGGGAAAAAATCCAGTATAAATAAACTGATTTCTATGGGACATTCTGTGGTGCGTTCAATGCTTATTTTACCCGCTGTTTGTAGCTTATACATAACTCTGCATCTGTATATATAATATTGTCCCCATGTGGATTAGAGAAAACTTCAATATAAATTCAACTTCGACTTTAAAATAACCTTAAACGTAAGTTTCTGATATTTCTGAAAAAGTTTTTTTTTTGTATCATGTATGCTTATCAAGTATTCTGGGTGGAATTTAATCCGTAATTCCACCCAGACAAAAAAAAAAAACAGTTAAATACATTATTAACAGCCCAGAAAGTTTAACATTTTCACCCACAAGAGTGCATATTAACTTAGCAAACTTAGCTTCTGCATGTCTTTTTGGTATTAGAGACTCTAAACCCTTTAGATCATCACAATTTATTTGTATACCTTTAAAACAATTGCAAACATTATGTGCTGTTAGCATCTATTGAGGTTATTCCAGGTGCTTAAAAGCCAAATGTGGTACCACTAATTATTGTTTTTTAATTTCTGATTGTTCACACTAAACAAACACAATAATATGTGGTATTTTATCTTAAGGACAGCTCTCAGATTCATATTTCTGAGTTAACTTAAAGTACTGTTTTTTGGGCTGCATCACTCACTGGCATAAACTGTTCAGCTTTGGTATCCTGAAACAATCTGTGTTGGATGCAGTTTAATACGTGTAGAAAGTACTGATATAGGTTCAAGAAACAAAAGGCTTCCAGTTGCCTCCTATTTCAGCACTTATTGATATAAGAGGATTTAAGTGGCTGCATCATGACTGCGGAGATAATCTTATCGGCCATTTTCCAGAGCTGCTGACCGTCAGTTAAAATAAAAAGGGAAGTTCAGCAGAGGCAGATGATGCCTCATGGAGGGATTAGACATCTTCGCCAGCAAGTCTCTGAGCTGAATAGAGGTCACACATTGGGTTTAGATATGACTGCATGGTGATAAAGTAATATTAACCTTATCAACCCCACAGAAGGGAAGTGGACAATACCACAGGGAGCTTGTTTTATTTAAACCTACGTAACTAACCGTTTACCTGAGTGAAGTTGCCCCTCCCCCACTTCTTCAAATCAGACCAAATTAGTGTCAAATGTTTGTGCTGGTTTGTGCAGCAAACATTTTTGTTTGTGCCGCTATCGTTTTAAAGATATAAATAAATGTTTCTAGAGGTCATCAAAGGTCAACCAGCCCCCCCACCTTCTTCAAATCAGAAGAAATGGGTGTCAATGAACTCAGCTCCGTTTGAGCTGGTTTGTGCAGCAAAAATTGTTGTTTGTGCTGCTTTGGCTTTGAAGATATTAATGAAAATGTAAAGGTCAAAAGGTCAACCAGCCCCCCCACCTTCTTCAAATTAGACAAAATTGGTGTCAAACGTTTGTGCTGGTTTGTGCAGCAAAAATTGTCGTTTGTGCCACTTTCATTTTAAAGATATAAAGAGATGTTTCTAGAGGTCATCAAAGGTCAACCCCCCCCCCCCCCCCCCCCCACTTACTTCAAATCTTCAAATCCAAAGCAGCAGAGTTAATTGACACCCATTTCGTCTGATTTGAAGAAGGTGGGGGGGCTGGTTGACCTTTGATGACCTCTAGAAATATTTCTTTATATCTTTAAAACGATAGCGGCACAAACAAAAAATTTTGCTGCACAAACGTAGCACAAACGGAGCACAAAATTTGACACTAATTTTGTCTGATTTGAAGAAGGTGGGGGGGCCAACTTCACTCAGGTTAACAGTTTGTGTCAGAAAGTATATCTTAATATGATACAGTTTTGTATATATTCATCATTGAGGGGCTTTGCTGTCTTTCTTAAAGCTATAAAGCTTTTTAGGGGAAAACTAAGGCCCCGTCCACACGAAGCCGAACCCTGGCCTAAACGCACAAATTTTTCACCAAACCAGCCTCTCATCCATACGAAGCCGGCGTTCCGGGGGTCTGTAAACGATCTTTTTTTTATTAAGCCTTCAGAGTGGGAAGATTTTCAAACGCCATTTTCGCGTTTCCATCTTTAAGCTCTAACTGCATTTTTTTTCTTACACGCATGCGTCATAGCGTCGCCTCTAAACACGCATGCGCGACACAGTATCACAACAACAATGGCGCCGTACTGTGTTGAATGGTTGCTGCTCATGCTACTCACCCTGCTGTCAGGCTTACAACAGAATCTTCTTCTTCTGGAATATCTCCAGGAAGAACAGAGCAATATCGACGACATAGTTCAGCACCTGAATTTGACTGAACCACGAAAATGGACCCGCAGGGAAACCATGTATAAATATTAGTGCGCATGCCCAACATTTCGTCGCCTATTTTTGCTTTGGCACGACAGCGCCACTTACAGGCCTTGCATACATTTTGCAGCGTTTTCATGTATTCGTGTGGTCGATCACATTTATTTTACGTCTCCGTCTCCGACAAACGTTGTGGAAAATATTAGCGTTTCGTGTTCGTTTTGACTTCGTGTGGACGGGGCCTAACCCTTCTGAAGACATGCATCTCTGAATAGACGAGCCCCTTTTTAACCTATTTACACCACAGTATAAAGCAATGATAGTGAAATTCAAAGTTTGCATTTTACTGCGCATTTTTTCAGTCTTTAATAAGAATATTTACATCTCTGTTTCAAAGAGTATATCACATTATATCGCATTGTTGCCTGAATGATTAGAAATTGCACCAAAGACAAAAAACATTTACATTAAAAACATGAGAAAAACAAGGTTTTTGTTTTAACCTATTTAAACTGACATTTTGTTTGTTTTGTTTAGTAGATCAGCTAGAATACTGCATTATTTTGCTGAAAAAATAAAGAATGGTTTATTAGTTGTACCCTAAATGTTCACACAGTCCTCTGATTACATGTTTTTAGGGGATATAAACACAAAAAGGCACTAAAATTGAACCAGATAAAGAATAACAATAAAGACAATCACAAATCTGTAGACTTGATGATATGTACTCTTAATTTCTAAACTGGTAAAAGTTTTTTGTAATTTAGGCTATTTCTTGGGTTGTAAATTGTCAAACTGCCCACCCGTCCTGTTAAGTGGCGCTTTGACAAATATGTCATGAGACTAAATCATAAAAAACAAATCATTTGAATTCCTTTAAGGATAAAGGTGTAGAATATTTTTTACCGGTGATCAAAAACTAGACCACGAAATCAAAAACAAATATTAAAATTGAGAGAAAAATGAATGAAGTTTTATATTTAAAGAAAATATTAATATATTTGCTTTAGACAATTTTTCAACAACCACTGGATTGAGTGTATCCTCGGTATTCAGACGTTCTGCGTTTGCAATAAAAAAATACACAAGTGCACTGCAAAAAATAGAAATCTCAATAAGTTATTTTTTCTTAAAAGAAGTGCGTTTTTCCTTCAATTGAGGAGGTAAGTAAGACACTTTGCCAATGGAAAAAGACAATTTCCTTTTAAAATAAGAAAAAACAACTTTATCGTCTTATTTCAAGTAAATATTATCTAACTATCTTATTTTAAGAGTAAAAATACTCATTCCATTGGCAGATCATCTTATTTACCTACTCAAATTAAGGGTAAATATACTTAATTTAAGAATTTTTTACTTATTTCTGGATTGTTTTTGCAGTGTGTGCTTTAAACTGAAGACATAAAAAGGATAACACTGGAAAAAGTCAATTTTTTCTTAAAATAAGTGCATTTGTTCTTAAATTGAGAAGGTAAAACAGACATTTTGCCAATGGAACAAGACAATTGCATTTTTCTTATTTCAAGTGCATTTTATCTAAATATCTTATTTTAAGAGTAAAAATTTTAAGAGTTTTAAGAGTAAAAATACTCATTCCATTGGCCTGCTCAAATTAAGTGTAAATACACTCAGTTTGAGAAATATTTACTTATTACATGAAATCAATATCGTGTCATCAACACTTTAAAGTCAAAAGACCAGTTCCAACATCCTTGAATGTGGAAAAAAAGGAAGTAAAATTTCCTTTATTAAACCTTCAACTGACTAAATATGAGCTACAGCAAGGCTCACAGCAGAAGCAGCAGCCGCCACTAGTTTTAGATTCCCCAGTTAGATACATACAACACACTAAAAGGCTCTATACTTGACCTCCAGAACCTCCACCACTACGGACCCAGGAGCATAAAATATCAGCTCCAGTTTGCTCACAAGCATAAAAATAAACCAAGGATGTTTTAGGATTCTATTCTGTTGCCCAGTGAGTCAAAATAAACCCCTTTCAGGCCTTTGGATCAGCATTAGCCTATGTCTAAAAGAGGAAGCATTAAGCATCCGCTGAAAAGAACACCCTGCATACAGAGGAGTAAGGCACAGGCTCAGGACTTCTATGCTTTCTCTGGTTTTGCAAAACGCGTCAGTAGAGCTTCAAACAGGATAACGAACACAAGCATGTCTCAAAGTCCATCATGGATCGGCTTCAAAAGACGTCTGGAAGACAGTAGAGGGGTGATCATAAGCTGTCTAGAGATATCTTGAAAATCTCTGTTGGAATTAAAGCCAGAAACCTCAAGAATATTAATGAACCGGAGACTTTTTTCCCCATAAAAGCAGAGATTGCTGCTAGATGTTGGGGTTTTTCTATTAATCATGTTTGCTGCACAACACTGCAAAAAATGGAAATCTAAATGAGTCATTTTTGCTTAAATCAAGTGCATTTTTCTTGAATTTAGGAGGTAATTGAGAAAATTTGCCAATGGAACAACACAATTTACATTTAAAATGAGAAAAAGACTATTGCTTTGTCTTATTTCAAGTGCATATTATCTAATTATCTTGTTTTAGGAGTAGAAATACTCAATCCATTGGCAAATCATCTTATTTATCTGCTAAAATTAAGGGTAAATACATTCAATTTAAGAATAGTTTTTACTTAATTCTAGATGGTTTTTGCAGTGAACAGCAACATTACACTGAAAAAATGATCTAGAAATAAGTAAACATTTCTTAAATTAAGTGTATTTTCCCTCAATTTGAGCAGGTAAATAATATGATTTGCCAATAGAATGAGTAGTTTTCGTATTAAAATAAGATATTTAGATAATATGCACTTGAAATAAGACAATGTAATTGTCTTTTTCTTATTTTAAATGTAAATTGTCTTGTTCTACTGGCAAAGTGTCTCACTTACTACCTAAATTCAAGAAAAAATGTACTTATTTTAAGAAAGAAATGACTTATTTAGATTTCAATTTTTTGCAGTGTACTACACACTGAAAAAACGATCTAGAAATAAGTATAAATTACTCAAATTGAGTGAATTTACCCTTAATTTGAGTAGGTAAATGACATGATTTGCCAATTGAATGAGTATTTTTATTCCTAAAATAAGATTTTTAGATAAAATGCACTTGAAATAAGACAATGTAATTGTGTTTTCTTATTTTAAATGTAAATTGTCTTGTTTCATTGGCAAAATATGTCTTTTATCTTCTAAATTCAAGAACAAATGCACTTATTTTAAGAAATAATGACTTTTCTAGATTTAGATTTTTTCCAGTGCAGACGCTCTTCACGAGGGAACTGAATATATCCTAAACTACACTGCAAAAACGATATAAAAATAAGTCAAAATTTCTTAAATTAAGTGTATTTACCCTTAATTTGAGCAGGTAAATGAGATAGTTTGCCAATGGAATGAGTATTTTTACTCTTAAAATAAGATAATTGGATAAAATGCACTTGAAATAAGACAATGCAATTGTGTTTTCTTATTTTAAGTGTAAATTGTGTTGTTCCATTGGCAAAATGTCTCTTTTACCTCCTCAATTCAAGAACAAATGCACTTATTATTATAAGAAAAAACGACTTATCTAGATCTAGCTTTTTTGCAGTGTACAGTATTTATACACATATATTACTGTAGCTGTTATACAACTATTTCATCACAAATTGTGTTTTGTTTGTCTATTTTGCAGAAATAAAAACCAATTTACAAAAGCGATTTTTGTTATGCAAAATTTTCTTCTATATGATTAAAGAAAGTTGATGTCAGTTTGGTTTTTATAATCACATTAAACAGTTTTCTGTGCTGATTACTCAAAATTTTATGTAGTTTCCTTTTTTTGTTTCATTATTTATCATTTATTTTATTTTATTAATCTTTAGGAATATGTTATTTATTCAAATATATATTCCACTTGTTTATTTAGCATTTGCTAGGACCGTCTGGGATTTCCAGCAAAACAAAACAATGAATCAGGTAGAGTTAAGCTCCTCCCATACCTTGCTCTCTGGGACGCCAGCTCCGACAACCAGCACCAGACCACAGCCACAATTATAATCATTCCTACGAAGGGGATGGAGAGAACAGGGTGCTCAGACGGATGGATGAATCTCTGAGGAAGGATCAAAAAACAAACACAAGGACCATGGCGATGATGGGGGTGAATGGATGGATGGACTGATAACACAAAATAATACAAACACTGAACAGAGCTGTTGATTCAGACCAAAAAGACCAACAAAAATCAATACATGATGAAAAAAAAAAATGTCACAATGTCTAATGCTGGGATTTACAGGAAAAGACAGTGATGGAGCGTTTTAAACGCCCCATTAAACAAACAATGCATAACTTTACGGTGACATAAACATTTAGTCGGCATGAGGATGTGCGCTCAGGATTGTGCGGCATTTGTTGTCAGCATGTGATGTTTTGAGTGGCCGGGAAAAGAAAGGCGAACAATGTGAGGGAGTATTTGGAGGCGGTTTATTCTCTCTATCCTCGTTATGGCGTTAATTTGTCATCTGACAGGCTGAGAGGTCATAGACATTCAGAGAACAAGGACAGCGAGAGAGACAGGCACGGGGAGACAGTTTGACACAACGCAGACACATCCCATCATGGCTGTTGAAGGCAAAACATAAAGGATCTTTTTTTTTTTTTACTCCTTGCATCTTGTTTTGTCTTTTAGCTTAATTAAAGTCTTTTTTATTAATTGATAACAGATCTAGAAGCTAAATAAATAAACCAAAGAAATAAAAGGTAAGCTGTATTGTGTCATTAATTGCTTTGATGTGAATTTTGAAAAGCCTCTTTTATATGTGGGTTGCACCATTGAAAAGATTACAAATCTGCACTGGTAAAGCCAAACAACCCGTTGGTATAAAGAATGTGTTGATGTTGGGATATACCTGCTTCATTTAAAAAAATAGACTTTTTTAAATCATTGGTGGCAAACTTAATGCAAAGAAATCTCAAGATAAGATTCACCAACCAGTTATAATCCCCTTCTTCCTCACATCTCAATTATTTTTTGCTTATTTCGCACATTAGGCAAACAGGACATTCTTAAATCTGTGTCTCTACCAATATATGCATTTTTTTCCACAAATATTGTTCCATTTTTAACCCTTTAAAGCCTGATCCAAGAATAAAACAAAACAGAAAATTTCTTTTTTTTTTGTTTGAATTCCTTATTTGCCCTTTTAACAAAATATGTAAAAAGAAAAAACAGAAACACATTTCTGATATTAATAATTTATTACTATGCAATAAGTCAAGATTATTTTTTGTGTAGTCTTCTACTGGCTGTTATCAGGTATATCTGATTGTGTACAATAGGATTTTGAGCAAAGTTTTTACCATTAAATTATGCAAAAGGTGTCAGACGCGAAACATTTAGGAAAACCGTATGTATCCAATATGATACATTTGGAATTATAGGGTTAAGCAGGGGTATCCAAACCAAAACCTGTGAGCCATTTCTAGCTAATTGTGTACAATTCAAATGTTAATATGACTTGTGAGTAAGTGTAAGATTCAGATGAACACGTTTTAACATTTTAATGTGAGATAAATTCCTCTAAAAATGGAACAGTTTTCTTTTATTACACACACTTCTTTCTAACAGTTTAATTTTCTATTTTTAGCTAAATTCAGCAAACCTTTCTGAAGAGTTTAAGTCATAAGAATATCCAGGTTTTGCTACTGAGTATAAACAAAATACAAGACATTGAAGTCATTCAAAGGGAACCCCCTCCTTCCCACAGAAAAAGCCAAAAGCAAGAAGTCATTTCTACAAAGCTATTGAGACTGCATTTAAATACACTTTTGATGCAATTATTGTCTAACATAGGATATAGTTAGATTAAATTGAAAGTTAATTTACTTATCTGTAAACTTTTTTATTTCAATTGTTAGTCTTTATCTTAAAGAGTATTTATATTAGTTGTGTTTTTGTCCATCAACAGTATTAAAGCCCCATTATCACAGAGAGGTCAGGACACAGACACTGTGGAAGTGAGGGGAGCGTTTCCCTCCATCTAAAGAGGAAAGAAAATGCTTATATGAGCTGACAGGGCAGGTCAGTTCATATCAGAACATGTATCGCCACAGTATGGGACACATAGAAAAGTGGATAACATACACAGAGTACAACAAAGTGTAATGTGACTGTTAATGCATTAGCTGCAGCTGCAGGGGGGGAAAAAGCATTTATTTTCTACATGCAGAAAAGCCTTGCTTTAAAAACTGGAATAAAAATGCATGCATGTCACAAAATGCATACCTAAATATAAAAAATTTTTTTATTGTGCATGAGTTGCTTATTCAAAAATATACTGTGCTTTGTAAACATATTCATACCACTTTAATCTTTTAAAATGTGTCATGTTGGTTGAAGGACAAGCTTAAATATATTTTACTGGGGTTTTATGTGACACTCCGACACAAAATAGTGCAACTATTCTGCTTTCAAAAAGGTGTGTTTGGATTTAAACCCCATATCTCTCTTAATTTAAAGTCGTAGGGAAGTCATATTTAAATGTCAACTCATTCTGGCTTAAACATGTATATAAATGTATTCTTTATCAGATGATTTAGTCCAAAAATTTAGAAAATTTCTATAAAAAAAATAAAAATCCTCTCTTAAAATCTCTGGGGGTAATTTTTTAGGGATGCACGATATTGGAATTTTGGCCGATATCCGATATGCCGATATTTTAAAACTCATGTAGCCGATAACCGATACCGATGTTAAAGCTGGACAAAAATAAGTAGTCATTGAAAATAGCAGTTTTATTATCCATTTCTGACACTGAAAAATAATATAGTCAAATATATTTTCATATGCTGATATCAAATTGATTTTTAAAAACGCGGTATCGATCTATTTTACTTTCAAAATCTTTCTTCATTATTTTATGCAGGACAGTTATGTCAGCCTGTAAACCTAAATTCGGCCAATCATATATCAGCAGTGATCTGTCAATCACATTTTTTTGGTCATAGCATCTTGATTCATATGTCACAGCTAATATATGCAACCTTTGAAATAAGAATCTTCGCAGAATGGTGGTGACGGTTGCAGGTGTATAGTTGGAGAGCGAATTGTTGAGACTTATTAGGCTATAGTGTGCAGGATATAGAGTGAATAATTTATCTACAAGCAAGAGATTGTGTGTCAAGACTGTGTGATTGTGTTGTGGGTGTAAGTGTTTTTCACGCCTTCTACACCAAACCAAGCTTCTGCCGCCCTGGCGTCCTCTTCCACAACATCTTCTTCCCCACTTTCCACCTCTAAATAAAAGGGAGGAGACTCATCCACGATCTCCGACACTAAACTCTCCTCCTCTTGCATTTTTCCGCTGTCCATGGCGTTCCTTGACAGTGTCGTTTCTAAGTCACCAATTTAGTGCTAGTAGGTTCCCAATGGAATTTCCCATTGGGAACCTACTAGCACTAAGTTGCTAACTGGTTAGCAAGATGCTTCCATGACACCGGGCTCAATCAAACGTGCTTGCAAACCTTCCACCACAACAATCCGCCCCCTTGATAAACTGCAACAGTTGGAACGGCCGTTTCCCTACGACTTTAAAGGCCACTTATTAGTAAATAAACCACACCTGTGTGTTATTTATTATATAATATAAGGATTATAATAATTGAACTTTATTGATCTCACATTGGAAAATTTTTCCTCTGCATTTAACCCATCCCCTTGAGGAGCAATGGGCTGCCAGTGTGGGGTTAAGGGTCATGCTCAGGGACCCAGAGTGGCAGTCTGTGGGAGTGGGGCTCGAACTCAGAACCTCAGTATTCCAAGCTCTATACCAGGGGTCACCAACCTTTTTAAGGTTGAGGGCTACTTCAAGGGTACCGAGACGTAGGAAGGGCGACCATTACTGACCCATGAGCTGCAAGGGTTAGCGTTAGCCTAAACCTTGTTCATTATCAACATATTTTTATTGTTTGTGTTAATTTCTAAGTTTATTTAGACATTGTCATTTTGACATCTCTATAAATGATTAAAAAGAAGAGCAACAGAACAAAATCAAATTTCAAACTTAGCCCACTGGTGGGTTGTTCTTTATTTAGAAGACTCTGAGGGCCCCCCATGTGGTCCTTGAGGGCACCTTGGTGCCCACGGGCACCGCGTTGGTGACCCCTGCTCTATACCCTAACCTCTTGGCCGCCACTCTACCACTCAGTATAATTATGACTTTATTAAAGATCTTTGTTAGGCAACATTAGATACATTTTTAAGACCAGGGGACATCAATAAGCAGCTTTAGGTGATGAGAGTTAAGGGCGATAAGAATGGAGGCGGAGGCAGAGCTGTGAGAGACTTGAGGCTGAGGTAGAGGTTGACTTCAAGCAGGACAAAAATTATCGAACACATTCATGTTTCAGAACCGCCCAAAGTCATGAAGCAAATTGGAATTTGTCACAAAGGCTGATATTCACAGCTGCTCTCTTTCCAACAATTATCTAGAAATAAGTAAATATTTCTTAAATTAGGTGTTTTTACCCTTTATTTGAGTATGTAAATTAGATACTTTGCCAATGGAATGAGTATTTTCAATGTTAAAATAAGATAATTTGATAATATGCACTAGAAATAAGACAACCATATTGTGTTTTCTTATTTTAAATCTAAATTGTCTTGTTCCATTGGCAAAATGACTCTTTCATCTCCTCAATTCAAGAACAAATGCACTTATTTTAAGAAAAAATTGACTTATCTAGATTTCGATTTTTTCCAGTGAGTGGAGCTACACTGCAAAATCGATCTCAAAATGAGTAAAATTGTCTTAAATTAAGTGTATTTACCCTTAATTTGAGCAGGTAGATAAGATGATTTGCCAATGGAAAAAGTATTTCCGAATACAAATACAATAAATAATACAATACATAGATAATATTTCCTTAACTTCACAGTCCTGTAGTACTTTGTGTCGGTCTGTCACATAAAAAGCTAAAAAAACAGATTGAATGTGAGATTGTAGATTTTAAAGGGTATGAATATCACTAGGAGTGGCTGGGAGATAAAAAACTCTCAGTAGTGGTTCATGTTTGTCCCATGGTGACTGTAATATCTGGTCTCTCCTCACCTGAGTTCCTCCTGACAACTTCTCCAGCTCGGCCTTGCAGCGCTGCAGCTCCTCCTCCAGCTCTGCCCTCTCCCTCTGACTGCTGTCGTACAGAATCTGCAGCTCCTGCAGCTCCATCTTCAGACCATCACACTGTATAAAAAAAAATCCAAACAGACAGCTGTTTCTTTTTCTTTCTGTATGTCCATCCAAAACATTTTAAAGACTTATTAAGAGTATACTGCTGCCATGGAAGCATCACACCTCTCTCTGAACCTGGGAGGCCTTCTCCTCGGCCTGTTTCAGCTGCTCTCTCAGTGAGAAGATCTCCCCGATGCCTCCGTTCCAGCTTGTGGGCGTCACCGACTTCCCATCAAAAGAGATGTTCTTCTGGATGGAGGCATCCACCAGGCGACAGTTCTCAGACTGGGTCATGGTCATGTAACTCCCGGTCATGACCTTGCCCGAGCCAGCCTCGCCCTCCTTCTCCTCTCCACCCTCCACTGCATCCTCCTCTTTGAGGGACAGATAGACACTGGAGCTGTGGAGGAAGGAATTTAAAATGCCATTTCTCATTTGTCGTTTTAAATGCTTTCAGTTGTTTCTAATCCCTTACCAGCTAATCACAAAATCAATTCAGCGGATTTACATCAACCTGTCTGTGACATTCCAAATGTGCCGCAGTAAACAAACAGGTGGTGAGTATTTTTTTTACATGACATATGGCTTTGCCACAGGGCAATATTCCAGAGGGTATCCCCACCAGCTGATAAAATGAGGACGGCTCATGACTGAGCAGCCGTTGACCTCTCACCATGTCCTCTGTCTCTGCAGCAGCTGCAGCTTCTCCGTCAGCCTCCTGTTGCTTTCCTTCAGGCTCTCACACTCCTCCCTCAGCATACGGCACTCCTCCTTTAGGAGGTCCACGTCACCTGAAAGAGATGACTGGGAAAGGTCAGATGACAGAACGGCTCATTTTATGCCTTTGCTCAAACTTACTGATATTATCATACGTGCCTATAAATATATAATGCGAAACTTGTCAAAGAAATGTCTTATTTTCTTCCACCCTGTATTGCTGCACAGAGTGGAAGAATTTTTACCTGCAAGACTGCAGGAAAATTGGTGAGTAAAATGCAATGAAATACCAAAGAACATTTGCTGCTAATGTTTACATCATTTTAGTATTTATCAAAGCTTTCTGTAGTAATTTTGGTATATGGCAAGGCAGGGTTAAAGGAACAGTACACCCAAAACATGATTAGCCTTCATTTTCTACTCACCCCCATGCTGAACAACACTCTGGAGTACTTTTATGATATCTCAAATGCATCTGGAGATCTGGGAGGCTTCTTGCTGTCTGCTGACATTCAAATAATGGAGGTCTATGGCGCCGGAGTCAGAAAGGTCCATAAAAGTCCACAGAAAACGTGTCAATATTCCTCCATACTGCTCGTCCAATGTATTCCAAGTGTCCTGAGTGGGTAGCATCCAGAATTTACTCGAAATGAAGTCATTTAGAATGTTTTTAGAGCATAAACAGTAGTGTATAGGATTTCCTGAAAGCGCGTTCACGAGTCTACGGAAACCGCGGCAGACCAAACCAGATGAAAGTGCGCATTCAGCTCGGCAAAGAACTCATGCTCTTCCTCAACACTGAAGTCCTCAGACATTTTTCTTTCGTTGTTTCTTTCTTTGCACAGGTAAACAGCACATTTCTTCTTCTACGCTTGCATTATCGGCAGAGCAGACGCTGAATGCGCACTTTCATCTGGTTTGGTCTGCCGCGGTTTCCGTAGACTCGTGAACGCGCTTTCAGGAAATCCTATACACTACTGTTTATGCTCTAAAAACATTCTAAATGACTTCGTTTCGAGTAAATTCTGGATGCTACCCACTCAGGACACTTGGAATACATTGGACGAGCAGTATGGAGGAATATTGACACGTTTTTTGTGGACTTTTATGGACCTTTCTGCCTCGGGCGCCATAGACCTCCATTATTTGAATGTCAGCAGACAGCAAGAAGCCTCCCAGATCTCCAGATGCATTTGAGATATCAAAAAAGTACTCCAGAGTGTTGTTCAGCATGGGGGTGAGTAGAAAATGAAGGCTAAACATGTTTTGGGTGTACTATTCCTTTAACCTGACTCCGTCAGATGGATTTGCTCCGCATATCCATCTGGAAACCTTCCGTAGAAGTAATTTTGGGAAGGGGCGAAAATACTGGTTAGCTGATTGGCCTATGTTGGTGATAGACGGGCCAAATAAACCAATCAGATCAACGAAGCATATGACGTAACAGAGCGAGGAGCCGATTGATAGATCAAACTCTTGCCGAAACCAGTTGGGAGAAGAGCAAAAACATCTTTTCCTCTGAGAAAAGCCTCCAGAGCAGTGTTTTGCTCTTCTTACAGTGAAGAAATACTCTGTTATTCCGATAACACTTGCTCGATAGCCACGCTAACGCTAGTTTCATCGGCTGAAGCCACCATGTTCTTTAGACTGAACTGTCGCGCTTCTCGTTGCGTCACACCTCAACCCGCCTCAAAGCCAACGCTGATTGGACGTTCGTTTGGTGAACGGCTCCAAATTTTCTTTAACGGAGAGTCTCCAGACTGATCTGCGAGTGAAACCTTGAAAGCTCGCGAGATCAGGATGGTCTCAGGAGGCTAGTGAGTTGTTTGGGAGGGCCAGTATCACATTGGTGGAAAATGATGGAATTAGGCAAGTTTTTACGTCCCTGAGGGGCCCCTGGTGAGGCTATTTCATTAATGGAAGAGCAGAAGGTGATTAAAACGAGAGCTAGTTTAGTCTCTAAAACAGAATTCTGAGATTAAAGTCAGAATTTTTTTTTATTTTTTCAATAGCCCAAAGACTCCTCCATAATCATACTTGCATAAACATTCAGTTCAGCTGATGTTTTCATGGGAAAAATATTAAACAATCAGATGGAAACCTTAAGCTCCCCTCCCTCTGGCCCATCTATGGTTCAGCTGTTGAAACCACAGCTGAAATCATGTGTTAGACGTCTGAGTCCCTCCCTGACATGACTTCATGTTCCTGGCATCCAAACTACACAGAGATGCAACTCCCTCTGCAACACTTTGCAGTCACATCTGTATGATGTATTATTTATTGAATCTCAGAGGTGATAAATGTGCTTGTCAGGAGGATGCTAACATGATGCGAGGAGAAGATGACTCACTTATTTGTGTTTTAGTTTCATGTCAGCCATGATGGGGTATCAGAGGTTCTCCGTGTTTTTTAGGGAATAGGATGAACTTAATAATAAAACTGTGTCTTTCTCTGTGTTCCCTGTTGAGAGCTGACTCTTTTTCATCTCTTTCTGTACCAGAGTTATCTCTCCTCCTTCCCTCACCCTCTCTCCTCTCGGCCTCCCTGCGCTGGCTCTTCATGCTGATCTCTGCCCTCAGCGTCGTGATCTCCAGCTCGTACTCCTGGGTCTCCTCGGTCAGGCGCTGCAGCTCAGCCCGCCGACGGCACAGCTCCTCCTGCAGTGATGCGATATCGTTCTCCCGCTCCGCAGCTGCGTCCTCCGCCGCCTGCTGAAGCAGGAGAACCTCCTCCTGGGCCACGCGCAGCTCCTCCTGGGCCTCGGCCAGCTCGCTCTCTTTCTCCTCCTCCAAACTGTTCATCTCCTCCTGCACGGAGCGCAGCTGGGCTGTGGAGGAGCAGGAGACGGTTAGCTTTACTTCATAGGTGTGTGGGTAAGGCTGTTGTGTCACTCTTTGAGAGTGATCTCACCTGAGTTATTGCTACAGTGTGTTTCTGTGTGGGTGGTGTGTGCTTGCTGAGAGCAGAGCTGATGTAACTGAAGGTAACCTCAGCTTTTTTCACATTAGAGTTAAGATTGTTAGTTTAGCAGTTACATGAAGAGGGAAAACAATGCTGAACCCTTGTCATATGTCAGATTTAGATATTGATATTTACATGAAGAACCTTTCCAATCTGATTTCTTTGCTGTTCTGTAACCATTAACGGAGACATTTGGCTTGATTGAAGTAAAAAAAAACGCCGACAGCACATGAATGTTTAATTTTTTACAATCAGTGTGGAGGAGGCATCACTGAAAGGACTACCTTTGAAACCACTTTAGACTGCAGCCCTGTGAAACTTCAGCTGAACTAGTGCAGCAAAAATCTTTTTTAAATCAACAGATCTCGTAAAATGTTTGTTTTTGAATATGAAATGTATTAAAATGTGTTTGAATAGCAGAACAACACTAAGCGGGTCTTTTGTGAGGTAAAATTAAAGGGATATATGGTTTTTGACTAATAAAAATACCCTGCGTTCAAATGCCCCTAAATAATCTGTGCAAGCTGTTGCTTTTAGTGGCCTTCTAACTAGTAAACATGAGGGGAAATATAACCTATGTATAAATCCAGCTGTCCGGCCTTGAGTTGGGGGAGTGGTGGCCTACTGGTTAGGGCATAGAGCTTGGATTCTGGAGGTTGTGAGTTTGAAACCCACTCAGACAGACTGCCACTCTGGGTAGCTGAGCAAAGACCCTTAACCCCACACTGCTCCCCTGCTCCTCTATACTTGTGACAGGGTAAGGACAATTACATAAAAAAACAAAAAATGCTGTTTTGTTAAAGTAGATCAGTAGAAAATAGCATAATGAAGGTCAGATGCAGCAGAAAGGTCAGGGGTGAAGACATGGCTGTTTCCGTAATCCCTGTATAGCGGTTATGCCATTTTAAATGAGTGTTCGAACGTCTAATGCAGGGATAACCGATTAAAAATCAGCGGGGTCTGAATAAAGAGAATCATCGACCAGTAAAAGTCCAGAGACAAAAAAAAGAACATTTGTCCATTTAAACATCTAAAGTGTTTTTTGAAGTAGAGAACAACAATCGTTCAGTGTGGTATACAAACATATTTTATAAAACACCTGAACTGAGCATTTGTTTGCTTTTCTTTCTTTTTTCTGTCTTAATGTTGGCAGTGGGCTTTAGGCTGCCCTGCAAGGCTTTAAACCTGGGTTTAACCGGAGACTAAGCCATTCTCAAGCACATATCAAGCTCCTCATTTTGAGGCTGGATCCAGATTTATTTTTTATTCTGTTCATGGTGGAGAATCCTGCTTCACAGCAGCAGGTTGAGCCAAAAATCCTCTAAATGTGCAGGGTCATCTTTGAGCACGCCATTTCACTTTTCTTTCACCAGTTCACCGCAGTTCTTCCATCAGTCCACACTTTCTTTAACGTTTTCTCATCATCGTTATCCATCGCCCGGCTTGCCACAGGTTTGCCTGTTGTGTCTAAAAGTAGCTAGCGGCAGCAACCCAGACAGACAGCTCATTGGCTAATTTGGATCACATGTAGCCTGGCCCCGGAGGGCTTTACCGTACGAAAAGGAGAAGCGGTGCAAGTGAAATTAGACACTGTCGTGGGACAACATGAGGTAATAATTTATAAATGTTTTAAATCAGGTTGGGTCCGGATTAGCCAGCAGGTGGGTCCAGATCCGGACCGCGGTACGCTAATCCATGACCTCTGGTCTAGTGGATGAAAAGGTAGTGGACTCAAAATTTCCCATAATGCACCTTGAAAAGTAGTGATCATCCATGGCCACTAGACAAGCAGATATATCCCAGATTGCTTTGCGAGAGCTCTCCTTGCAAAGCATCATGGGATTTTTTTGTAGTGGCGACAAATAACAAACCCCACATGGTGTGAGGAGCTGGAGTCACGTGACCAACGGGGAGCAAAAAGCAGTGATCATCTGTCCTAACGGTAAGTTTCACTATAGAGTCCACTAAATAGTCCCCGCTCTATATTTAGGGAGGACCCTCGGACACAGCCATGGAGCAGGATATGAAATCAGAAGATATGCTTGAATCAGAAGATATGCACATACTAAAGGGTAGGGGTGTAAATAATAATCGTTTCGTATCGATGCATCGATCCAACAGCCGACGATCCGATGCATCGATACGTCCGCAAGAGAATCAATTCATGTTTTTTTTTCCTCCGGTTTAATTTTATGCATTTGCTCCTGGGCGTAATTCTCCCTCCCGTGCTGCGGTGGCGCTAAACCTATTTTGCTCTCCTACCTCGCTTCCTGGTTATACTCTTACAGCAGTGTGCTGCAGTGAGCTTGACACAGACATTTTTAAATTATGCTCAGTATTGAAGCGTGGTCTGTGCTACACGCTGTGGGTCTAGATACGGCCGAGGCGGTGAGGCAGTGGGGGCGAGTTTAGTCCGACGAGTGAGGGACATGAGGGCCAAAAAGAGCGGAGATTCAGGTGGAAAAAGGGTCCCAGCGTTCTCGCGGACCTCGCTCTTTTAGCGGGTCAAACTTCACGAGTTGTTTTCCACAATTTAGGTCATAAAAACAAACCACTGTTTGCGGTCAACTACAATTTGGGAGAGGTGCAGCGGAGCGTCTGTGGAGGGGCGGGACGTCTGGAGCCGAGGTATTGCATTGCACTCATTGCACTGATTTTCTGCAGTATTTTTGAAGTATTTTTTGATGCAACTTTTCTACTTCTGTTATTTGCAGTTGGTTCTAAAAAAAAAAAATTCATAACGATATTACAGCTTCCATTGATTTATTTCAAAATTGATACTTTGTTTAGCCTGTAAGGTGTAAAAAAAAAAAAAAAAAAAAAAAAAAAAAAAAATTAACCGATTAATCGAATCGAATTGTGGTGTATTCTTGTGTGTGTGTTCTTGAGTATGGAAAATAATCGAATCGCTGGGTCAAGAAATCGATACTGAATCGAATCGCCATGATGGATGTGATTTACACCCCTACTAAAGGGCTGTGTATACTCCCGCAGCATTGTGTTGCAGTTAGCTTGTTGTGCCCAATTTTTTTTGGTTTGCGCTATGTTATTGCACTTCACAACGCAAAAGGGAAAATCACGAACTAGCTAGGATGTGGGTGTCCGTTTGTCGTTTTCACAAGCTTGTTAGCTGTCTACAACCCCTCATCCAATCGGACAACACACAGTTCACCTGTAAGTGTTCCTGAAAGACTGGCCATGGCGCGGCATGTTTTATCTTCGGGTGTGAACCAACAGACAGTCGCACAGAGCTACAAACTAGCGTCCTGCACGGTGTCTGGGATGGTGTCCAAGGTTTGCCAGGCATTGAGGACGGCACTACAGCCAGAGTTTCTGCCATTAGGTACCAAACAGGAAATATGCATAATGTTGAGCGGATCTAGAGTTGACCAATCAGAGGCCTCCTTTGTCTCCTCCCTGCGACGCCATCTGTGGTCACCTACAATTTTGGGGAAGTGCACGAGGGTGTCTGCGAAGAGGGTGAGGCATATCTGCCTTAACGGTTTCTAAGCATAAACCAGGCTTAACTAATACAGGACATGCATGTCAATCATATTTGGTCTTCAAAGGAATATCGGCCAATGTTAAAACAGAGAGATTTCAGTTAAAAATCTACACCACAAAAACTGACATGAACATCAGCAGTTACGGCTACTACAACAACTGATGCGTTTTATCAGCTGAGGTCGGTCACTTGGTACCTTGCAGGTTCTGGATCTGTCGAGTGAAGGCCTCCGCCTGATGGGCGCTAGCCAGGCGCTCATCCTCCAGCAGACCTGCAGAGATGTACAATAAAATAAAAAAGAGATGAAGAGCGTGTGAAGAGATGGGAGGAAAAACAACACATCAGAGGGATGCTGATAAGCTGCTGCAACCCCAAGCATGACCGAAGGCTGCAGCATATTTCTCTGTTTATGTTTCTATTAAAGAAGCTCATAATAATAATATAGAAATTTGATCTTTTTTTTTTTTTTTTGGTTGCTATTTTCACAGCTTAACTTTGCTGCTATACTTAGAGTTGTTATTAGTTTTTGGTTCCTGTAAGTGTGAATGGTGCCAGCTATGCTTTTCCATCCAGATTTATTGGCTTTAGTGCAACAACTGCTAGCTGTGGACAGACTGCTAAGGCTGCTGTGTGAAAGACGGAGAAAACAAAATATCTCTGAACTATGCGAAAACCATGCATAAACGGTGACTGGTACTATAATCCATTCAGTCGCTGGTACCAGGACCCTCTGGTTAAAGTTTTTACATTTCTTAGCAACCCGACGCCATTTTTAGATGGTTAACAATTGTTTTGTATTTCTAGAATCCTGGCCTGTCCTACTTTGGAGTCGATTATATTTGTTGCATTTTGTTTTAGGTTTATAGTTTAGTTTGTTTCATGTCATGTAATTTATCTTCTATTTATTTTCTTCATTTGAACTTCTCTAAGCCAGTGCTTTAAAGTCTTTCAGTGTCCAGCTTTCTTAAGTTTATTTCGGTTAAAGAGAGCTAGAGTTAAAGAGCAAAAGACATATTTTTAAGAGAGATCAGATACATTTTTTATTCAGTTTAATTATCTGAGAAGGCATAACTATGTCTAAAGAGATTAGCTTTAATATTTACTGCACACATGAAAAGTGCACCATATGTGACTTTAAGAGTTTTCACGAATATTGATCTGGTTTTCACCGAGTTGTAAAAGTATTTAAATCTAACAGCAAGCAGACTAAACCATACATGGACAGGGTGATCAGGGGTTCCTCTTTCAAAGGGACTGCAGAGCAGTTTTAACCCTGGCTTTAGTTTTTAAGAGTCACAGCTGCAGAGCAGACGCCTTCCTTTGAATTTCCAATGGGATTTAGAAAACATTTCAGCCAAGTTACACAGCAATCATATCACGTAGTCAAAAAATACTTTGCAAGAAAAATTCCAAAAGTGGGAATTTATATTAAGTTCTTTTTAGGGCTGAAACAATTAATTAAATTAATTGTGATTAATTGATTATTGAAATAATCGTACAACTAATTTATTCGATTAATCGTTACCTTGAGAATAGAGACTCTAAAACATGCCTTTAGCTCAATGCTTCCCAACTTTTTTTGACTTGCGTACCCTTTTGGGTACTTTGTACGTACAATATCTAATTATAAAATAAGCATTTAATTGTTAGGTATTTTGTTCTTTGCATCTATAAAAAAACAAAATAAATATGTTGCCTGGAAGCTAGTAGGGAATCAAAATAGGTACAAAATAAAATTAAACAATAAATCTGTCTCTATAAAACTGGAGCTCTTCTGAGTAACTTAGACTTTGTCATTTTTACACACAAGTGTATACAAGAAGAAATTTTGTTCAGTACAGCTCTCAAGACATTTTCATTTTTTTAAGTACAGCCTTGATAAAGGGAAGCTGCAGTGAAACAGTTCCAACATTCAGTTTTTTTTTTTTTTTTTTATAACCCTGTTTTATATAACATTCAGCAGTCTAATGGCAGTGGGGAAGAAACTGTTCTAGAATCTGCTTATAACTCCCTGAACTCCCTTATAAGCAGATATAAACTTGATGAATTGGAAACAAAATACTAAACAAAAATTGTAGTCGGACTGACTACTTTGATTTCAACATGGATGACACCTGATCTGCTTTGATGAGCTCTGATAGCTCAGTGTGAAAAACAGCTGATCCCCACACTGTTTTCTACATCCAGGCTGTTCCTCTGCTTGGTTTGGATGTGTGTCAAAGATGAAGGTGAACTCAAACCTATAAAAATAACTAACTTTTTTTGTTGTCAAGCGTTTTAGTGATATGTTTACGTAAGGCCGTCATACGTGCTCGTCCCCATTTTCACTTACCGGTGGTGAGTCTGACAAAGTGGAAAAAAAGCACATTTGCTTTTGGAAAGTAGGCTTGTATGAGCGATGCAAATAGCAACTTTTAAAGGCATACTATGCAACATTTTTCAGTTAATTAATGTGTTCCATAATGTTTTGGATGATTAAATGAGTCATTTCAGGTTGAACAAAGGTTTTCTCGGCCGCCCTGGTGGTCTGTAGGGGAAATACCGTACTTGCAATTGCAGGAGCCCTCGGCCCGCACCCACAGGCTCAGAAGTCTCGTGCATCACGAGAGTCAGTCTTGCTTTACGGCGAGAACTGCTACACGCCCCCAGTGAAAGGCATGCTCGTTGCTAGCGCAGTGGCGATATTTGTGCAGTTATCATGGCGGAACCCGCGAGAATTTTCAAACTCAAAAATTGGAACAAAATAGTCACTTACCGCAGTAGACATGGTGATTCGTTGCGTTCGCCTGTCTGCTAAGCTCAAAACAACCGCGCCTGGCTTGACGGAGAAACCAGGAGAACAGCTGAGCATATTTACGACAGTGCACTTTTACTTTCGTCCTCTGGGGGGTGCCTCGCTGGAAAATCAACACCGGTTTCATAGTATGCCTTTAAACAGAGCACGCACAAGGAGAAATGGGCTCGTGCACGCTCTCGCACGTGCTTAATAGGCGTTCTATCTTAGGAGCAGGTACAGGGTTGTGCATGTGCATTTTTTTTAAGTGGAGAGGGCGGGTCTTTTCAAAAATTTGCGAAAATCCTCCTGCATAACTTTAACATTTTTTGTCAATATGCTCTATCGAGAACTTCACAATCGGAAAAGTGTTATTTTCACCTGGTTTAATTTAGTTAAAAAGTCTTCTTTAAGGAACCATTATCTGATTATTAATCGATTGATCGAAAAGATAATCCTCAGATTAATCGATATGCAAAATAATTATTAGTTGCAACCCTAGTTCTTTTGATTGTGATACAGAGAGATTGAATCCAGCTAAACAATTTGCCTTCAGTAGTCACCTAAATAGCAGTCAACAAAGCTGTTTCATCTAAATAAGAGAACAGGGAATCAATCAACAGCTCTGAATATTTAACCCAGACATAAAGCCAAATATAATTTTTTTGAAACTATCCAAACTGTGGTTAAACTTTAGTGTAGACTACTGGAACGGATTGCAAATGGTTCAGTTTTTCATTCTTACACAGCCCATCACTTTTTCATCATCTTCAGAATTATGCGCCACTTTTTTCTGGTCTATCATATAAAATCCAATTGAATTAAATCAATGTTTGCAACTGTCATGATCAAACATTTCTAGTGCTAGGAAAACATTTGCAAAGCACCAGTTATGTAAATTACTAATAGCTGCTAATTAGTTGCTATAACCAATTCACTGCTGCTGAACTAACACACGCATAACAAATCCGCAGCTAAAAACAAACATTTATTCACAACTAAAATGACTTTCCAGTCTCTTGATGGGAAAAAAAATGAAATAGACATTAAAATGGCATTTAGTAGCTTCAGGCTATAACATGTCCCCAACTTGCACGGATATGAATTGCATCAAAGATGAAGCCAAAATCTAAAACACAGACACAAACTATCAAAGACTCAGAACATGGTTAATTAGCTCTGTACTGGTCACACATAATTATCTGAATCATCCCAATGCTAACACCACAGAGTCTGGTATAACAAACGGCCATTTGTCGTTATGATCCGGGACATTAGTTCAGAACCTTCTGTCAACAGACACCTTGGCTGTCGATGGAACGACCCAACCGCTGCAAGACAAAGCCCTGAGCTCATGGTGAACCCTAGTGCTCACACTCATAAACACAAGCTGAGCTCAGTGTGGCCTCATACCTACGGCCTTATTCACTGCAAGGTTCCCTCAGCATTAACGCCCTCATTTATAAGGAGTGACACAATACCCTACTACCCACCAGCTAGGAACCAAGGACCTTGTCAGTGACCGCATTAAATGTCTGTTTTATTTTCATAAGTAAAATGTCTGGAGAGAAAAGTTCAGCTGTTCAAAGGAGAAGTGCAGTTTTTCTGTATTTATCCTTTTTTTTTGGGTCTACTTTGTCTTGCTTCATGCAGCTTCAACTGTACAAATCCAAACATGACACAGGAAGAGCAGAGTTAAGAAACTTTGCTAAAAGCTTAGTGAAGTCTTTGTATCTAGAACACAATTTTTTTTGTTATTTTGTTTTAAATCTAGATAAAAGCAGGGTTGCTCAGTGGAGCTGTGGGTTGCACTGCAGCCTTGCAGCAAGAAGATTCTGGGTTTGATTCCTGGCCCGGGGTCTTTCTGCATGGAGTTTGCATGTTCTCCCTGAGCATGCGTGGGTTCTCTCTGGGTACTCTGGCTTCCTCCCACAGTCCAAAAACATGACAGTTAGGTTAATTGGCTTGTTAAAGTGAGGAGGATTTGTCCCCTTGGAAGTAAAGGCTGTAGCGCCCTGGGGGACTCCTCACCGGTTCTTTTCCTGGGAGCAAGTTATTTACTACTCTTAACTCAAACTGGGTAAAACCATATAAAAAAGGACTATAAAAACAGGGATAAAAAAGTAAGAGTTTGTTCCAGATCAGGTCGTTACAGGACAGAGAAAAATGCTTGGAGCTAGCACAGCTGTGGTCTCAAAAATCACGTCCGCAAGCGTCCGGCAAAGTTTGAGCCCCGAACAACGTCATCTCCTGCTTCTTATACCTTCTGAGTCTGTGTTGCATCATGTGGATGCTTAGCTGTCCGTATCAGAAACTGACACGCCATCCATGTCTTGAACTCCATGCAGCTTGCTTCTATGCTTCAGGGTTACAGATACAGCAGCTCTCCTATCAGACCGGCTCCAAGATGTGCCCATATCCTGTGTATTCTTAAAGACACGAAGGCTGTCCTAATTAGATGACCTCCGTACACACCGCGACATCCACAATGTGAAGGAAGGCCTTCTGCTCTGTCTAATCTGACTAACAAAATAACAATGCACATGATGTATAAATAATAAAACCTAACAGGCTACTCTAAATTCTCCTTAGGTGTGAGTGAATGGTTTGTTTGTCCTGTTTGTCTCTGAGTTGCCCTGCAATGGACTGGCGACCTGTCCAGGGTGGACCCTGCTAGAGATAGCCATTGACAGCTAGAGATAGACACCAGCAGCCCTCACGACCCCCAATTGACAAGCATGTCAGATAATGGATGAATGGATAAAAAGCATAATGGTAAAGAGATTTGCTGAAAACAAAAGAATGAAATGTGGATGGTGCATTTGTAAGCAGTGCCCCTTGACTTTAACACCCTTTAAGAAATGTCCATCCCATTTCCTGCATTCAGATGGGTGCACAGAGTCCAGCTGCATTTAGCTCCAACCATCTTCCCATTAACTTTGATCAACTTCATTACATTACATGTTTGAGGTGTTCCACATGTGGCAAACTGCAGATGGTACTTTTCACTCAGCAATGTCTTCTCTATGCCACTCTTTCATAAATACCATACTTATAACGTCCCGTTTGGAGATCATTCTGCTAAAAATGTGCACTTCTGCAGCTTCACCATAGATTCCTCGGCCTTGCTTGTTCTTTTGTGACTGACACATACGTTTTTAGTTTGGTGTATCAGAGTAAAAGGGGCTGAATACAAATGTAGACATTTCAGGTTTTATATTCTTTAAAGAATTGAACGTTTTGGTCAAGGCTTTGTTCAAAGCACTGCTTGCCTTTTCAGCTTGCTTAACTGAATCATTCTCCACATGATGACTGATCAGGGTAAAAATAAAACCTCTGCATCATTGCTGGATATCTCACCTTGCAACTCATGGAAACTTTCCTGGTGCTTGTTGGACGTCTCCCTGGCCTCATCCAGCTCAAGCTGCAGCTGCAGCACCTGGGCCTTCAGCTCCTCCAGCTCCTGCTCCTCCGTCAGCGGCTCCTGCTCCTTCCTCCTTTTCTCCAGCCCTTCCCCTTCCTCCCTCAGCTTCCTCTCTTCCCCCTCGTCCTCCTGGTCCAACACTTCCTTCTCGTTGTCCTCCAGGATGCCTCTCTCCTTGGCTGTCATCTCGTTGTCCATGTTCGGGCTGCTGTCGGCTTTCAGATCACCAGGATCATCTGTTGGAGGGATGCGGATGATAGAAGAGGTGATAAAAAGGAGAGTTTGATGTGTTACAAAAATCTGTCATTCTCTGCATCCAGCCATGCTTGAAACAACAGCACCATCTTGTGAGACGCACATTATTTTGCACACCGACTCTTACTCCATTTATATCCACTAAGAAAATACAGTGTGAACTATTAATATAGAAAAAAAATTAGATATTCTACTTGTGAATTCATCTTTTAGGAAAGAAGAAGGAAAACATCTACCTATAAAGCAACAGCTTAACAGTCAGGATGTAGTTTAATCAACTGCTCTGCAATTTGAATACAAATGTTCAGCCAGCAGGTGGAGTGAGTTAGCTGACACATTGCGGCAAAGCAAAGTAGAGGGGGGATGAGTCAGTATGCTGAAGCAATCACTATGACTCACCACTCAGCAATGCACCTCAAAGTCCATAACAACATGAGCTGGCGCTTATAGTAAGAGAGATGAGGCACATGCGACTCTCACAAAGCGCCGTGTCACATTACACGGCCCTATGCAGTCTTTTCATTGCTTATTTCACAGCCTGATCCAAGCATGGCGGTTTATGCACAGAACTGATGTACAGCAATGCATGATGTAGACAAATACAAGACGGGAAAACTAAAGTAAAAAAAAGAGGGGGGGGGGGTGCGCTCAGCTGCAATTTCAAAGGAAAAGTATCACTCCTGCTTTAACTCTGTTCAGTAACTGCAAGAAAATCTGCTCTCACCACAGCCGAGATGCACTGACCCGACATCATTTTTCTCTCACCTTTCAACAGCATGCTACCCTTAAGGTCGAGTCCGTTTCACAGTTAAATTAAAATGTAGCATTACAAATTTGGAGCCGAGTGCCTCATAACTGCGGGTTAAGACTCAGAGAGGAGTGTGACAGTGAGATGAGCAGAGGAGGGAGGCTGCAGCAGGGGACAAGGTGGTGAATTAACTACAGATCTACCTAATTAGCAGCCATACATGCCTGTGTGTAATCAGGACTCGGGAGGATTTCGCATCTCGAGATAATTATTTCTTTCCCTCCCCTCAGATTTCTTGTAACTACAGTACTGAGCATGGAGAAGTTTAGACAGGGTTACATCGTAGAATAATATCCCAGGCGTAGGACGTTTTACAACAACCTGTACGAAGACTGGAAAGTCTCCTATGAGACATGGTGGTGGCAGGATCATGCTGTGGGGGTGGCTGGTCAAAGTTTATGGGAGGATGGACAGAGTTGTAATTATAACCTCTGCAAATGAGGTTTATTTACATTTTTAATAAATATATGATACAGAGATTTGTTTCACATTGAACACAAACATTAGTTTCATTATTACTGTAATAATATAGCCTCGTGAGACCATCCTGATCTCGCGAGCTTTCAAGGTCTCACTCGCAGATCAGTCTGGCTACTTTCCGTTAACAAAAATTTGGAGCCGTTCACCAAACGAACGTCCAATCAGCGTTGGCTTTGAGGCGGGTTGAGGTGTGACGCAACGAGAAGCGCGACAGTTCGGTCTAAAGAACATGGCGCCTTCAGCCGATGAAACTAGCGTAAGCGTGGCTATCGACCAAGTTTTATCGGAATTACAGAGTATTTCTTCACTGAAAGAAGAGCAAAACACCTTTGCTGACATGTTGCTTATTTGCTGAGCTAACGAGCTTTTACCTGCAGCAGAAAGAGTAGCCTGGCTTGTGGTTGTGTTTTTGTCGTCGCTCTGTTAGTACGTCATATGCTTTGTTGATCTGATTGGTTTATTTGGCCCGTCTATCACCAACATAGGCCAATCAGCTAACCATTATTTTTTGCCCTTTCCCAAAATTACTTCAACGGAAGGTTTCCAGATGGATATGCGGAACAAATCCATCTGGCGGAGTCAGGTTAGTAATTATACACCATAAGATAAAAAATTAGTTGGAAATTGTTGGTAATTAGCATACCTCGAAAATCTGTAAGGAGATATGTTTCACTATAAGTTAGAAATGCTTTATAAGACAAAATCTCTGGTGGAGTTTGAAGAAGGCAGTGAGCAAACCCATACATCCACCCTTTCCCACTCATTCCACCACGGTCACGGTGATGCTGGTGCCTATCTCCGGCAGTCTATGGGCAAAAGGCGGGGTACACCCTGGACAGGTCGCCAGCAGGCTATCAGTGGCTAGTGTTTGACTGGAAGTGTTATTTTTTAGTAAGTCATAACAGCAAAGAGTGATCTACTAACTAGGAAAGAGCTTTTTAAACTGCAGTTATCATTACAAGTGGCATTTTGCGTTGGATTTTTAAAAACACGTAATAAAAATATCAGTTACCCTTTAAATAGTTCCAGATTTTATTCTTGATACAAGCTGCAGATCCTCATATTTACCTATAAATCTTATTTGCAGTGTTGGTTGAAAAATGTAAATAAAACTATAAATGCAGGACAGTCCTGGAAGACGAGGCTGCAAAAGACTTGAGATTGTGATGGAGGTTAATCTTCCGGTGTGAGATGCTCTTCCACACAGTCTACTGTACTAAAAAAACTTCAGAACCTCTGGCTACGTTCACACAGCGGCCTTAAGTGACCCAAAATGATTTTTTTGCCCATATGCGACCTGTATCTGAACTTTTCATGGCAGTCTAAACAACAATGATCCAATTTTTCCAATGCGACCCAGGCCACATGGTCCTGAGCTATCTCTATAGTTATGCTGCTATAGGCTTAGACTTCTGGAGGACATAGGGACCACTATTTCATCATTCTGCTTCATTCTATCTCTGCTTTTTCTCATAGTAGCTTCATCTGGTCTGTTCCTGTTTGGCTGTGACTCCATCCTGGAGAGAAATATCAGCTGTGCTGCTGCCATCAACACCTTTGTTTATAGATGTAGAAGATTGGCCTATTTTTCAATGTAGTCCTGTTTCTCTGACGGTGACTGGCTGGATGTGCTCTCTTCATCCTCTGACATGGGAGCTTGTCTACCTGGCTGTGTGTTTCCTGGACTGGTCGCCTTCTACAGTAGCCTTTTCTATCTCTGATTCTGTCTCCTTGAACCCCAGTCGGCCTGAGCAGATGGCCGCTCACATTGAGCCTGGTTCTGATGGAGGTTTCTTCCTGTTCAAAGGAAGTTTTTCCTCTCCACTGTCGCTACAAGCATTCTTGGTGTGAGGGATTGCCTTCGAGTGAATGAGTCGATGCAATCAACTGGATTTCCTTAAATAGAAAACTTTGAATCAATCTGACTGTATGATCTGGTGAACTGTAATGTACCTTGAGGTCACATGTGTTATGATTTGGTGCTATATAAATAGATTGAATTGATCCGATACGTATCTGATCTTTTCAATTGCAACCTGTGTCTGAACTGCCAGGTCGCGTGCATCCAACTTCAACTAACTCAACAAAGGTTCAGCATCTTGCTACACAGAAGCAGGAAGAAAAACAACAACCATTCCGGACGATAATGCGGAGAGCAGTCTTTATTTTCAACCCTCTTGAAAAGATTTTATTGTTATTGCACGGGCTGAGGTTGGAAAGAAGTGAAAGATTGCTAGATGCGCTCCAGCAATAATACATGTTTACTTCCATAAACACACACACTCGCTCATGATTTTATTGCGTCGTCTACTGCGCGTGTCGTCTACTGCGCATGCGGGACACTTGCGTTGTGTGAATGCAGTTCACACAGGAGATTGAGTACAAGTCACGTTTATCTGGCTATGTGAACACCCATGCAAAAGAATTGGATTTCACAACAAAAATTGGAATTGAGCATCAAGGCCTCCGTGTGCAAAACTGTTTGGTTCCTGTTCACTGATTCTCTCTATGCATGCTAACTGAGCCTCAGCTGTTTTTCAAAGATTGATGGGAACATTTTAAGCTGGTAAAAACATACCATACAATATTTTTAGCTGTAATTTCTACAGAGTGTGAGAAGAACCAAAAGAATGTTAATACTTTTGCAAGGTACTGCATATGCAAGACTGCAATGCCCAGGTGAATATATCTTTTTCATATTATTGTTAATTCAAAGAAAGCAGCCCCTGGGAGGAATGTACGAGGTTTCATGAACACTGGGCAATTTTTTCATTAATCTTTGATCCTGGGGTAATGAGTTAGTCATAAAGAGCCGGAACACAGTAGCAGGGAGGGAGGCTCAGCTGCTTGTATAGCCAGCGGCAGATAAAGGCCATCAAGAGACTGAACCTTCCCACTGAATATCACTCAGATTCTTTGGGACGAATGATTAGAAGAAGCCGTTTCAAGGGTTCTCTGCTGAGTCTCAGTGTAATGCAGCACAAACTCTTTAGGCTATCTTCTTATAGCCATTCATGTATCCCACAGGGATGGAATCCTCTACCAAGTCCTCAGGCTTCATTTCCTGGACATGGAGAGTGACTTGAAGAGCTGCTTTCACCACCAACAACTTCCTAGAACTTTCTCAAGTCCTCCTGAACTTTGAGGCCTCAGTTCTCCTAGTCACCTGGTAGCAGAGCTGGATGATATGGCTTGAAAATCTAATCTCCGATTTTTTTATTTCTTCCAATTCTAATTAATCAATGTTTTTCTCCCCTTTGAGTTTCATTTTAGAAATTAAACGTATACTATGCAACCGGTGTTGATTTTCCAGCGAGGCTCCCCCCAGAGGGCGAAAGTAAAAGTGCACTGTTGTAAATATGCTCAGCTGTTCTCCTGGTTTCTCCGTCAAGCCAGGCGCGGTTGTTTTCAACTTAGCAGACAGGCGAACGCAACGAATCACCATGTCTACTGCGGTAAGTGACTATTTTGTTACAATTTTCGAGCTTAATAATTTTGCATGTTTTCATACATTATTTGTTATGCATGTGTCTAAATAACAAAGATTGTAGTTAGCCAAGTTCTCGCCGTAAAGCAAGACCGACTCTCGCGATGCACGAGACTTCTGAGCCTGTGGGTGCGGGCCGTACTGCAATTGCAAGTACGGTATTTCCCCTACAGACCACCAGGGCGGCAGAGAAAACCTTTGTTCGA